ATATGCGAGAGTTTAGATCAGATTTGCCGACACTTATACACAAAAGGGGTATAGATATCGAGCCCATGACCATTGAAATCGGGGATTACATACTAACCCCCGACACATGTGTTGAACGCAAATCTGTCAGTGATTTGATCGGTTCCTTCAATTCTGGCCGACTCTACACCCAAACAGAAGTGATGGTCCGTTACTATAAGCGGCCGCTTCTGCTCATTGAGTTTGACGACCAGAAGTCGTTTAATTTCAAAGGCAAGTATTGGGGGCACAACGCGCCCATCAGTGGCTCCCATACGGGTCGACCCAACGTAATGTCACAGTTAGTGGTGCTCACCATTCATTTCCCATTACTTCGACTGCTGTGGTCTCCGTCCCCGCACTTCAGCGCCGAAATGTTTGAGCACTTGAAACAGGATCGGGAGGAACCGGATGCTAAGCAAGTGTTGGCCAAATCCAACCAACAGTTGCCGGCCGAGTACGTGACCGACAAGTATGACATTGAGACCAAGGAGTTCCTGTTATGCCTTCCAGGGATTAGCATTACTAATGTCTATTCAATCATGAATTCAGTCAAATGTATCGCACATTTGGTTGAATTGAGTGTCGAGGAGTTGACTGAAATTATGGGCAATTCGTTGGCTGCGGAACAGCTGTATCGGAGTCTTCACCACAAAGTTGTCGACCGAACTAATGATGACATCAACCGATTGAAAGACGAGAAGAAGTGGAAACGATTTGCCTCTAAAAGAGCCAAAACATAATATTTATGTTTTAATTGATTGTTATATGCTATTAATGTTTAATTAATTTTTTCAAATATATAAAACATTTTGTTTATTAAATTAAATGATATATTAATTTTGACAACTAATTGTGTTTGAATTTCTAAAATAAAAGTTTTCCAAAACTTGTAGCAAAATAAAGCCATCACTCCATAGATGTCTGTATTGTTTGTATGACTTGTTATGCAATCAATGTTTACTTGACATTCAAAACACAAATGAAATGTGAATTAAATGATTGATTTGAATGCAAACCATTACTCAGTATTCATTTGAAACAGTGGTAGACATGAGATAATGACCGCACAAATGGATCCCAAAAGCAATTATAACTACAATTTGTTTCTTTTCGTCACGTTTTGGGGATTTTTCAACGCTTTTATACCACTAATCGTCAAACTTGTGAGACATTTGACCACTTCCTCCACATCTCGTATCTCTTACCACTTGATATGACAGGTATTGACGGTATTTCTCAATGAGACCCAAATGGAGGAGTCTTTGAGGCGACAAATCCGTGATCTGAAGACTGAGTTGTCGGACATCTCGATGTCGGATGAGTTCGCAAAATACGCCAAAATTCAACGCAAACTAAACAAAGCCAAGGATCAGCTCAAGAGTCAATGTATGCACACATTTATCACGTGATTGTTGTCTATTAACTGATGGTATGATCGCATCCATAGCCGACGCGCAGACGATATTCAGAATCAAAGCCAAAGTCTTCTTATATATCATTCTTTACGCCATTTCTGTATGTCTTTTGTCTGAATCTTATAAATGATTAATAATCAGAGCGTAACAGGACTACAGGTCAGTTACCATTGCTACATAGACAACACCTTGATAGCGATGCTTCACGACAAGGCTGACGGCCTGGTAGAGAAGATAGGCAAACCAAACGAAGACAGCAAAGGCTGCGGCGTTTCCGGTCAGACACTAACCACTCATTGATTGCTTGTATTGTATATTAATGATCATATAAACCACTGTTAGGTGCCATCGGTATAACCCCGTGGACAGCCATCACAGCGTTTATTGGCCGACAAATTGTTAATTTGATTTCATTGTAATATTTGTGACATTTCTCATGTTTTTTGGTTTTTTTAGTTGTTTTATAAATTGTTTTATAAATTGTTTTCAATAAAAATACGAGACATGTCTCCGGTATGTCTCGTCTACCGCTAGTATTGTCGATACAAACACTCTCTCACTCGCTGTCCGGCAAAGGGTTTCGCAAAAATTCATGAAATGAATATTTTTTCATTCATTTCAAATACAGACGATTTTAGATATGGAGAACTAATGGAGATCTTGTAGCTAATTTGACATTCTTGAATATTAAAAGTAATGTAAGAAATCAATATAAATGTGATATTTTATTTATAGATCAAAATTAAGGATTAAATTGTATCACGCGAGTTTGTGTTTGTAAATTTATTACAAAATTCTGTTATAAATTATAATCAAAAATTAAAAACGGTAGACAATTGACTTAAAGTGTTATTCAATTGACTTAAAGTGTTATTCAATTGACTTAAAGTGTTATTCAATTGACTTAAAGTGTTATTCAATTGACATCAAAGATATGAATCAAATTGAGGCAAATGTTTGCAATTCATTTGTCATGAATTTGTCGCTCATTGTCGTTGGCTTTTATTTGAATACTTTGAGGTATAAAATGACAATTATAGCTACATTTTCAATATCTATTTATGTAAACAGTTGGACAGTCGTGTTGGCCGATGTAGTGACACCCAAAGAGTATGAGATCTCTGACGGCGCTCTTATAGCTTCTAGTTTCATAGAAATCATTGGACTCGTCATATGTTGCGGTTGTCTGGTATTCATTGTATCCATGATTCTCAATGGCGTCGAGAGAAGTGCCAAAAAGCGGTCAAACCAACTGCCAGTTGTGGTTCAACCACCCGCACAACCCCCTCAACCCACTCCACCACCCGTTATAAAAAGGGCCGGGCAGATTTGTTAGAAAATCCATTTTTCATATAATTTATATCATATTGAATATCAAAATTTTTCGTTTTTATTGCTATTTTGTTGTAAGTCAGTCGGGAAGACCTAATTCTCATGAATTTTTGAGACAATATTTTTTAAAAGTATTAAAGAGTTACTCATTATTTAAAGAGTAGAGTATTACATTTCTATACAAATATTTATTTGATATAAGAAATAAAGTTCAATTGATAAAATTAGCCAGGTCTGGAAAAATGAAATCGCTATGCCGCTGCTTTAGTAAAAATTAAATTCTTAACTATATCACTTAATTTTAATCGATTTAAACCCCAACTATGGTTTTAAGCCTTACATGTTCTCCCGAAGAGACAGCTTGATTCGAGCACCGGTAGCTCGGCACAGGTAGTTTATGTAAAATATGCTATATATTAAAAACTACAACTATATCTTATCTAAACGTTTGATTTGTGAGGCATTGTTGCGAATCCCAACCGTTATAATAAAACTGCTTTTTAGACACAAAATTCAACTATCATTTGATTAACACTTAATTCATATTTAAAAATATCCATTTACTCGACAAATATAAGTATTAATTTAAGACATTGAAGTCATGAATCAAATTGAGAGATCAATTATGGGTGACTTATTGAACCGAAACAATCTGTGGGTCACATCTATTCGCTTATATTTCATTACTTTCGGGTATCCATTGAAAGATATCATAATTATTAATAATTATCACGATATGAATAACTAGTTATGATATATGATTACAACAGTTGGACAGTCGTGTGGGCAAAGGAGAAGGTGGATAACGTGGATGAAGTGCTGTTAGGGATGGGTATTATCGGTTTGTTAGTCTGTTTGGTTTGCTGTGGATGTCTGGCACTCATTGTATGGCTTTTGGTTCGGTTGGTGACCACTGGAGTCCAAGAGGTGATGGGAAACCAACAAAATGATCAAAAGCTTGTCTACCATCACGTCCAGCCTCAACCTAACCAACCGGCTGTTTACCATGAGGTCCAGCCATCACAATCACAATCGCCAGCAATTAGTATAAGGCATTGAATACTTTGATCTCAATTTTTATATACCATTTCTCTACTAAATTCATTGCCTATTCATTTAAATTCTCAATTTGATTAATAAGTATCAAAATAATATTATTAACCTGTTCAAAATTCTTAATTCATATTCAAAAAAAATATTTTATAATATAATAAAATCATATACAAGTTTTCAACAAGTATTTTTTAATATTAAACCTTATATTTAATGAGAAAGTTATTTATCATTCAAATAATTGAAGTCAAAGTTTGTTGTAAAAATTATGTCAAATAAGTTATTGATTTATATTTTAGACTTTATAAAAATATTATCAAAATATTTTTAATATTTATAAGAAACAATTTTTACAATTAATTCAAACATTAATTTTGACTCAATAGTTAAGACAAGGTTTGGTATTTGAGACTAATTGAGACATAAAATGTATGTATTGGCCACACCTTATAGAAAATTCTTCAATTACTGTACTGTTAAGGCATTTCTTACGTATAGCTTAATACGATCACTTCAAATGACTTATTGATTGCTCACATATTTTAATGAAATTCATTCAAAAAACTAAAACATATAATAAGTAGATAATTATTAACTTTATAAATATTTAAACTTATTTTTTGGGATAAATTTAATGTGAAAACTATGATATTAAGTTTTGGACACAAATTACACAACGTATGAATTATTATAGATTTAATCAAATATTTTTGTTTACAAGTTTTGTTAGAAATAATATATTTAGTGGGGAAAATTTTTTTCATTAAAATTTACGATATTTTGAATTGAAAAATAAATGTAAGCGTTGATTGACTGTAATGTTTAATTGGATTTCTTATTTAAATATAACTATTGATACAAAATTTGGAAACTTTTCGATAAGCAGTTAATAAAAGTGACAAAAAACTGTTTGATTGCTATGTTTATGATTGGGTGCATCCATGCGTTGCTCACTTGCCTTTGCCCACAATCCACGGGTGCTTCACGAGGTCCTGAATAGTGATTCGTGAGCTCTCACTCTCTTCCCACAACTGGTACTGAAGTTCTTTAAGATTTTTGGAGAAGTCTTTAAAAAATCTCGACTCCATAT